AATTAACTTGGACGACCTAGGGCTAGGAAATCCTCTCAGTTCAGGGCTCGTAGAGTCTAACCTCTTAGTCATTCTAAAAAATATAGATAAAGGGTGTTCGTCAGGCATTTTTTGAATGATTGGTACACTCCTCACTAATGAAGAAACCAGAATTGAAGAACCCAAGAATGAAGAGTCCAGAAACTAGAAAAGGCTTCAGCTACTTCACATGCAAATGCAAAAGACAAATGTAAGATAAATAGAAACTTGGAACACCCAGATACTATCAGCATTTGAATAAGATGAATGAAGAAACACATCAAAATTTGTATGTGATATTTATACTTTAATCGTTGAAGTTCTTTTGAAAAACACAAGTGCAAAGAACGCCTCACAACGTGTCACGAAAGCAAATTAGCATAAAGCAAGAGAGGCGAATATGGAAGAGAAGAGAGAATAGCTTCAGTGGATGAGGAAACACAAAGACATAACACTTAACGTTCATTCTAAAACCCTTAAGGTTAACTTATGAAAAGTAATTGAAGGGTATATGCGTAATCACACACAAAGACAAAATTGTTTTACAGCAAATAGGACGCGCGTCAGTTGAAGGTTAAAGGGTTAACACTTTAACACACATGTAATGAAGGCAACATTTAATGCTTCTGACAATTAAAATCACATTAACTGTCTCTTTAACGACGAAATGATGGTTTACCGAAACCCACTTAAGTGCAAAAATTATGAATATGTGGCATATCTCGCCACAAGTGGATAAGGATCTCATATGAAGAATGCATCTCACATGAAGAGTACATTTCGCTCCTCATGCTTAAAGGATAAGCAACGAGTTAGGGGACTTCTGATATGGACTTACTACATGCAAGATAAAGGCCCAAATGACCCCAGCGACATAGCCACAAAGACATACCATCCGCAAAGGAGGCATGAATCTCGCTAAATACTTGGCCATCAAGCCAACGTGACTTAACTTGGGAGGAATCATCAATGCCGAGATCAGCAACTCAGGCAAGTTGGCCTCCACCAGGGACCAATGGATGGACGGCAGCTTCAGCTTGCCACCATACCTATTGAGTCTACTACAAAACATAGGCTTGCCCATTAAAGAATAGCCTGAGAGAGACCATCCCTCTCCACCAATGAACGTGAACACCGTCTTATGAAGGATAGTGATAAACACGACGCCTAAGCACTGTAAATACAAAAGCCACTAGCCCAGGTATGATATCTCTCTTTGAATACTTGAACCTCCTTGGATATGAAATTGACTTGAGCGTCAGAGTGTCTTTGCAGGTACCCCCAGTCGCTCTCATACTGCCCAACCACCTCGCAACTCAGTCTACCATCTCGCCTAGCATCTCGGCAACAACTCATCAATCTTTTCTTCTCTTCATTAACATCATTTACCTTCAACTGTGTGTGATTAGACCCAGCCCAATCAGCGTTGGACCGATCAAAATCTAAATTACTTGAAATTGCTTTTGAAATTTAATTACTTTCTGCCATCATATCTAAACTATATATTGTGTTTATAAGTCTGTAACATTGATTTTGTTATTGAAATATGTATATATCTCAAATTTTTAACTCCTAGTTTTAGTTAAGCGCCAACCTAACATTTATTGAAAGGAGAATTGTAGGTGAAACTGGCCTTCCTAGTAAGTCCCCTTCTGCTTTTCTGCTCAAGTGATTGTTATAAGAGAGTGGTTACTATCACGGAGGCACAACACAATGAAGAAATATGAAGACAAGTGTAAGCATTAAATATTGAATAAGTTATAAATATTCCTGCTTCTTGTGATTTTTTTAATATTTTAAGTTTGTATATTAGAAGAGTAATAACTGAAGTGAAAGTTATATGAGAGGATTTTATAGGATAAGTATGAGTGCAGAGACCTGTTAGAGATAGACAGGGAGCGTTACGATGACAGAGTATTTAGGCGAGTTAAAACACAAGTTAGCACAAGACATCACACTCTTGATTCACCTCCCATTGTCGCACACTTTAGCAGAAGCCACCACGCTCTTCCATTGTGTGTATCTTCGAAGTCAAAACGGGGAAAAAGAGAACGGAAATCTATTTTAGAAGAAGAATAAATTCTTGGGGAGGGGGCTGAACCTTTAGCCATCACTGACCCCCGCACTCCGGATTAGTCCCATAGCCGGCTCAAAGAGTCGAAGCTTGTGGAGATACCGGAGAGAAGGTAATTAGGGTTGGGTAACTCCAAGAAAAAAAAAAAAATAACAATTTTTTTATAATTTTTTTTTTTTGATGTTGTGTGAAAGTGAGGGAAAAGGTGATCAAGGACGCACTAACGATAAGAAGAGAATGAGAATTTTTTTAGAAGAACAATAATAACTCTTTTATGCAGTGTTTTAAGAACTCTCGGTGACTAAGTGGGTTCCCGGTTCGAACTACCATTTGGATCAGCTATGCAATAAACTCAGTTTGGACTGGTTAACTCGGCCAGGTCTATGTGGCCCTACGAATTATACGAAACCCGACAAATATGAATGTTTTATAAAATAAAAAAAATTGACACAAACAAACAGCATCGTTTGTGTGTCACCATAAAATCCTAAATCACTCTCATCTCATTGTCCCAGAACTGTTCGCGTTTTGCTCTTAAGTCTCAGCCGAAAATGTGCCTAGATCTCCAGCCGCTGTCCTTCATTCGCGTGGCTGATAGAGTTTCAGAAAGCAATGCTCGTTATTTGAATCGTGCTTCTTCTGAGGTTTTCTTTAAGAGATCGTTATTTGAATTGTTTTGTGGTCTTTCAAATCCAACAAATGTTCAGATGAACTTCGTGCTCCCTTCTGTTCTTCGTGTACGTAGTTTTATGTTATTATTATACATAATATATTGCTATAATTTGCTATTGATTTTGAATAATAAAGTTCAATTTGTTTTTGGGGTTTCATTTTTGTTTTTCTCTCTTTGTTGGATAGGAGAGGGTGGGTTCTGGTTCTTCATTGGAAGAAATTAGCAAAATTTATTTTTTGACTTTTATTTTTATTTTTATTTTATTTCTATTGAAAATACCCAAAAATGTATCAATTGTCTACCTGATCTTTGCTTGTGATTATTTCTCTAATGGAATGAATTTTATGAATAGATATGGGATGATAATGCAGAAACTAAGGATAAGATATATAATATAAGTAATATATTTATATTTTTTTAATATATGAACAATATATCCAGTTGCATCAATAATCCAGTACCTCAACCGAGTCGATAATCGATCCGAGTTTTAAAACATTGTTTTAAGAGAAGCGCAAGAATAGGTTTTGCAATTTTTATTTTTATCTTTTTTATTTAGGTTTTGCAGATTTTAGAAAAAACGAAAACGACATGAGTTTTGGAGGCATCACATGAGAGTAACGGATTTGGATGCCACTCTTAACATATATGCGTAATTATTTAAGTAATATAATTTAATTAGGTTAATTGTTTGAATTAAAAGTAGAAGATGGTTTTTTGAAGAGGGGTATAAGGTGCTAAATTGTAATTTAGCCAATAAAAAATATTCTTGAAAGATTATACTATCCCGAATGCACTCTCTCTTCAATTCTCTTTGCAGTCTCAGCATTGGCATTGCTTGACAATTGGTCACCAATGATTCTCTTTTCTTCCAATCAATCAAATACATTATTTGTACTTCATTTGAATATAACACATTTTGGGTTTTAGAATTTCAGAATTTGCTGCAATTTGACTTTTCTTTGATAAAAACACAAGTTGATTATCTAGTACTTTTTTCAAAATAAATAAATAAAATTTGCTCAATTAATCTAATGCTTTTGATTCGGAAGGCCAAGACTTATTATACATCGCCATTCTAATCTCTCAAGATGATTTTCAATTTTTCATCAAGTATGTTACTATTTCCAAGACTTCTGCAGAATGACCTTAAAAAGAATTAGAATTATATGGTAGAATTGTGAGGGCTAAAATTTACTTTAGACAAGAAAGATATATTCAGAATTATTAAATACATTTTCAAAACAATTATAACGAATGAAAGAAACTTTCAAAAACATCCTCTAAAATATTAAAAGCTAACAGATCATACTTTTGAATTTAACTTGCAATAGCATTACCAATTGTAGTATTTCAAAAAATCTAATTCCGAGGAGTGTTATTTTCATATTATACTACAGTGACATAACTATCCCAAAGCAAAAAAACCAAAAAACAAGAAAGAAGGTAACCTATCCACTTTGCTTCCTAATGCTACCACTAATGCCCCGCTGGCTACAGTGTTCCAATAAGCAACCTACAGTGCTAGTTCCTATTGCTGCAAATACTTCCTTGCCTGCCACAATGTACAATTGTAAGCATCTAATTACTTCTCAATCAACAAGTAAATTCCAAATGAGGATTAGGTGTAGTGCATACCAGAAGAAGACATAATCTTCAACAGGGAAGTAATATCCTTCCATACCATTTGCAGATTCATAAAACTGTAAAGGATACAAATTTTATCAAGTCCAGAACCAACGAGCGCTAAGTAATGCCAAATAACAGTTATCATGAAAGGATCAAAATTTTGGCATGAAGGGATGGCAATGCTAAATTCGTTGTATATGCCAGGCAAAAGATGATTAAAGAAAAGAGCACGCAAGAGAAATCTAGAGTATCCATTTCCCAAGAGCCAAATAATATTTCAGTAAAAGCTGAACAGATACCCTAGGTTTAATTTCGATAATATAGGCTAATAGCAAACAAATATCTCAAATTTACTAAAAGGAGGTTCCTATGGAGTCTGGCAATCATTCAAGCAATTATCAAGATATCAGACAGACATTATTGGCAGTATGAGTGTAAGAATCTAGAATGTTACACGTCAATAAAAGTTTTATAATAAACTCATGGATATTTTGATTCCAATGCACCAAATTGAAGGATGGACCAATGCATGTTGGCGCTGTACAAAAGGAACAACGTTGCATCCTTTCAATTTTGATAAGAGGCTGTGACCAGAAAACTACCTTTTCAGTCTCTGCCATAATACTCATCACCGCCATCTGCTTCCTTAACATCAACAGTGAAACCATACTCCTGATCACAACCCAGGTATGAATCACACATGAAATAAAGTGCATAGGAGTTCTTTCCAGCATCAGCAGGAGCAGCAAACTCCAGCTTGGCTTTTAACTTCCACTGCAGGGAAACCCGTTTAATGGCAAGCAACAAGTTGGTTTTCGTATCACCAACAACAAGCCACCATCCTTCTTCCTTGGCTTTTGGATACCTGGGAGCATCAACAGGTCCTAGTTCGGTCTTACTCTCAAGATCCCGCTCAAGAGTAACCTGTATTGTGATATCCTCCCCAGCCCGCACATTGTCACTATCCAACACCTCATACGACAAATCAATATTAGGGAAACGATTGCAAAATTGGGCAATATCCAACAACTGTAAATCTGGCATGCCCAACAATTCACGGCTCTCGTATGGTGAATCTGTATATCCGGATATTGCATATCCGAATATGGACAGTGAGATATCCGGATATTGCATATCCGGATATGGTCTCGAGGAATATCCGGATATTGTGGGATTTTGCAGAACAGTAATTGTGATGTGTGTACAGTAGGCTATTGGGGGTTTGTGGACCCTAGTTTGATGAAGTTGAACTTCTGTATTTAATGGATTAAGCCAGAATCATGTGATTAAGGGCTTGTGGCTTTGTTAGAAACTTTAAGACTTGAAAACGTAATGAAAAGGCGTTGTCTTTAATTTGTATGCATGTGGTACATGTTTATTGATTTATATTTGGTCCATATCAGATTGTGATCTGCTGTGATTGGACTTTGAGCTTGTGGCATTGGATAGCTAGCTTAGAGGTAAGCTTTCGTGTCCTCGGTTTAGCCATGTTGTGGTTCCACCATGTCCCATGGGGATATGGTATATGCATGCTGTGTTACATGCTTTTGATGTTTTCGAAATGCTGTTGAGCTATTGTATGTTAGTGCCTTGTTGATATGCATGGAGGTGTTCCACCTATACGGTAAGCCTGAGTGTGTAGAACATACAATAGGGTGAGACTGTGGGTGAGGTGCAAGCGGTGTTCCTTGTACTACATGTAGGGAATAGACGTATTTCTACATTTCTCTGGCCAGTAGATAGTGATTACACACATGTCATAGATATCTGTTGCACTACATAGTTTTGGAACTGAGAATGATATAAATGTTTTTAGAACTTATATTGCACATGTAAGTGAACTTGGGGTGGAAGATCCTTGAAGACCTCTTGTCTTACTGAGATTTCTAGTTTAGAGATCTCACCCCACGTTTGGGGAATGCTTATTTCAGGGTCAGGTAATGTTGAGACCTCAGGCGGCAGGAGGCCAGAGCTGAGTTAGAGTGCTGTTATATTATGCTGCCATGATTGGATGCTGGATTTGCATGCTGCTTTTATGCTTATAGCTTCAGTTTATGTTTTGGAGTTTTATGTTGAGACTTGTTGTTTACTATGTTTATTTGGTGAGCATGGGGATTGTCCATGACACATAGTATTGTTATGTCTTGATTATGTCTTGAGTCTTTTGGAGTTGTAATAATGTATCAGGATATTGTCCGGATTACTTGATGTAATGTCGTGATTTAGATACACACTTTATTTATATATTGATGTATTTAAGTAGATGTCTTATTGCAATTTACATATAGGCGATATTTTATGAAATTGATTAAGTAATCAAGTTGGTAATTGATAATGATGTCATAATTGAAAAGAAAAAGAATATTCCGCATTTTTTATTAAGCACCACTTAATACGATGTAATGTTAATATTCCGGGTATACACGGGGTGTTACAAAAGGCTCTAAGACCGAGCTTTTAAATTGGAGCCTGAGACCTTTTTATTAAATGAGCTTTTATACAAGTTCAAGCCTGGTGCTAACAATCAAATTTAGACAGACATGTAAGCTCAAGTCTTCACGAGCCGAGTCAAAAGTCACTGATTCGTTTAGCACCCCTAATTAAAACGGAACATATATGGCCCTGCCGATGTGGATTAGGGCTAATGACCCTTAATAATAAAGATTTATATAAGTCAAAAGTTTTATGGACTAGAATTAATTGTGAACCATTTAAAATTATAATTTTATTAAAAAAATTTCATATTTAATAAATTAAATATTATTTTAATAAATAAATATTTAACATTTTCTTAAATTATTATACATATTATAAATTTTTATTACTTTATTTTTAATTTGTACACAAATATACAAATGAAAATATAAAACAAAATTTTAATATAAGTAGAAATTTAGTCATTGCATTTAATAAATTCGTTGTTAAAATACGTCATAGAAATTTAGCTATTACATTTACTAATAAATTCATGGTTTGAGGGGGTGTATGAAGGATATTATAGTCTTTTTGTATTGAGGATATTCTTTTCTATTTTTGTTACCAATATTGTTAAAATTGTGCAAAAAATCATAGAATCGTACGATCCTATGATTTTTTTTCTATCAATGCTCCAGATCATGAATGGGATCGTTCTCCTTTGAGAACGAACGAGATTGACGAGAAAAAACGTGAAATCGGTGGAATCATTCAATCATAGCATTCCATCAATTGTGAAAAAAAAACCACATCAAAAAATTTAACATATGACCCAAAAGTTTAACTCGCATTGGCGATGCTACAACCAGCTAACCTCCATCTACCTGTCGCTCTTGCTCACCGAAGTATCCTTCTTCTTCTTCTTCCGTTTCCAATTCTGAGTCTTGCGCTACGGCTCCGAAGAAGATTAAGGTTAAACATATGATAATGGAGAAGGTGAGGAGTTGTTCGAGTTCCGTGACCAACGATGGATCTCTGGTGACGAAGAAGTGGCGGAGAAATGTTGAGCCGGTGGAGGATGAGGTGTTTGTGAAATGGAGCACAAAAGCAAAAGAACTCGAGAGAGAAACAAAGTTGAATGATTAAATTTCAAGGTTTGAGATAAAGCCAAAGTGGTTTGTTTAATATTATTTGAATATTTAATAGATCTTATTTTATTTTTTGTGAAATTGTCTGCACTTTTTTCCTCCTAAATATTAATTTTTGCTTTTCAATTTTTTTTCTTAATTATTAAATTTTTAAAATTGAAAAACTTTATATATATATATATATATAATTTTTTTATAATTAAAATTAGGAATGTAAATACTTAATATATTATTTTTATAATTAAAATTAAAAATGTATGATTTTACGATCTGTCAATTTCACGGTTTTACAATTTTGTCATCTTTTTAAGATCTCGATCTTAACAACTTTGCTTGTTACGCTCGTAAATTTGGAAAATTCATGACAACTTACTAAAACAAGTAGTCTATAAAAGCACTTATGACCCATCATCAGAACAGTGACTTTATACTTCTAGCACTTTTATTTTAAAAATATTGTCCACCATCTGGTCTCAGTATGCATAAACATTTGTAGGTTGACAGTAATCACACACAATGTATACATGCTTAATCAAATATCAAATTGTCATGGATAATATTATTTATATTACTGGTTATATCAAGTATTAAATATTTTTACCGTATTAAAATAGAATAAGTATGTAGCTTCATTTACTCTTCTATAAAAAAGAACAAATGTCATTCTTTAACTTCACTTCTTTTTAATTTTACATTTAAATTATTTTGAATAAATAATACATATCTTTTTTTAATTGAAAATATTTCTTCTTAATTAATATTTTGTAAAATTTTAAAATTAATTATGCATATCAGTCTTATAATATTAAATATATCTTAATTTATATTTTTAAAATTTCTGTAAATAAAAAAATATGTGTGTAATTCATGAATCATTTACTAATGTTAACGCATTCATGAATTGTTCTCAGAGAATAATCAATAAAGCTCGATGTCTCACATTGTAGGCTTCAAATGCTCAATTTATAAGTGGATATGGTTCCATGTGTTTGACCCCAATGGATAATGTTGCTCGTCTTAGTCGCTCCATTGGAACACTTCTTTCATATGCTTGTTTATATCGACGATTAATTTGTCGTCTCCTTTATATCACAACCACACGTTCAGATTTATGATTCGCACTTAAACAATGAGTCAATAAGTTGCTTCACCGCTTGAGTCCAGCTGCGGAGCCACGTTCTATTTGGGTGTGGCATCAGCCTGACTTAAATTTTAACAAATTATATTTATCATGTATAATTATATAATTAATTATAATTTGGCCCAGTCTAAAATTGTAATTTGGTCCGGGCTAAAATTCGTGATTTGGCCCTATCAAAAAATTAAAATATATTTGGTGAGATATTTGAGTAAGTTATGTGTTCTATTTCTATTTATATAAAAAAAAATTAAAATATAGGGAAAACTTCAAAAAAAACTCCTATAACTTTCTTCATAATCATTTACTCTCTCTCCAAAATTTTGAATCATTTATCCTCCTGACTTAAAGTTTTTTTTTATCATTTACCCCCTAAGTTAGGGGGTAAATGATAAAAAAAACTTTAAGTCAGAGAAGTAAGTGATAAATTTTTTAAATAAGAATGTAAATGATTCAAAAACTTTGTGAGGGGGTAAGTGATAATTAAGAAAACTAAAAGGGATTTTTTTGAAGTTTTTCCTAAAATATATTCAATAAAATTTAAAAATATTATATTTTTTTTTATGCTTCCTGCTCAAGTGTTTTGTATTTAATATAATTTAAATATATTATGATATGAACTAACTAAAATTAAGAAAAATAAATACACATATAATTTTTTGGCCCGGGCTCCGGTTGGAGCCTGACTCCACCACTGCGCTTGACACTCATAAACAAGCTTGTGAACACTTAATTTTGTCCTAAATATCTTAAAATAATAATAATAATAAAATAAACTTTAAATTGCGATCCCCTATTTTTTTAAAATAAAAATAAAAATAAAATAAAGGTCGTAATTAAATAACAAAAATTAAATAAATAAGAAAAGAATGAAAAAAGAAAACTGCCCCTAATATTACTTGCATCGTGAGCAGAGAAACCATCTTTCTCTCTTTTCCTAAGCTGACTTCATATTGTAATTTCAAGAGGAAAGCTCTGTACAAGAGATCGCCACTGCAAAAGGGTTCTCCACTGGCATACGTTTTGGGCACAAAGCTATTTCACTGGTATGCATTACACACTTTGCTAAAAAGGAAGATATCAAGTAGACAAAATAAGAATGGTTCAGAGATGAATGTATAGCAGCAGAGGAGCAGTGCATTAAAATGGAGTTTGGAGAAGACCCATACTCAATTCAGCAAGGCTCCTCCATATGTCATATGCGAGAACCTGAGTCCTCCTTTTTACCTCTCAGATAATGTAGTAAAGTTTGGTTCTTTTTTTTATCCTATAAAGCTAACGAAAAGATGCAGAACAAAGGGAGTAACACTGGTTTTTAAGGGGGGAGGGGGGGGGCATGAATA